TGCGGTGTGTGTGGAAATCCGCGGAGCCGTGGCTGAGAAAAGATAAGGCTGAGTGTGTGTGAGGAGCTCCACGGATTGGTCCATTTGGACCTGGGTATCGTTACGTCACTGTACCCAGGAAGAAACAAATGGAAAAAGAACAATCTCCAACGAGGCGTTCTGGGGCAGCATCAACAGGTATTTTCTGTATTAGAGTTGTACTCGCTACAGGGTGTACTTTGAGGGTGTGTGACTTTGCAAACCGTTACATAAGCTACATAACACACAAGGGGACGGGTAATAACCGGAAAAGCACGTCATGGGACCTTTAAGCCGATGGTATTTGAGTTTGCCTTATCTGTTAAAGACACTGTATTTGTGTCTTGGTATTTCCTGGTTTCTTTTGTTTTGGGTGGATCCGTGGTAAAACCCAGAGTGGACTTTTTTTAGTTGCCTTTGTTTGTGGGCCTACAGTATGAACTGGATTGCATTTATGTTGGGGTTGTCAACTCTGCTAAAGCGGATTGAACTGTATGTATTGACTCTTTTCCCCACACATTGCCCACACTTAGATTTTATATGTGTTAGCCTACTTTCCCAGAAATTGATGAGTGATTTATTTTGAATTGCATTTCAGTGATGAAGGAGATATTTCCTGAATTCATTCATTTGTGTATGGTTTGACTGAACAATTTCTGTTGAATATATTAGATTATACCCCACTTTTTTAAAAATAGGTCAAACCTGCTTCAAAGTTGAAGGTATTCCATATAGTTTGTTCAATGTTATCTGACTCTCCAGAATGAAAGGCAGTGTTTTTAGAGTGGTTCACACCTGAGTGGCTTATATTGGGTTACATTGCCATTTGAAAAATAAAGATAATTGTGACTGAACATTGTTAATACAGCGTATTTTTATGTTACTTTTCCATCCATCCATCCATCTTCTCCCGCTTATCCGTGGTCGGGTCGCGGGGGTATCAGTTCCAGCAGAGAGCCCCAAACTTTCTTTTCCCTGGCGACATCAACCAGCTCTGACTGGGGGATCCCAAGGCGCTCCCAGGCCAGCGAAGAGATATAATCCCTCCACCTGGTCCTAGGTCTACCCCTTGGTCTCTTCCCAGCTGGACGTTCCTGGAACACCTCCCTAGGGAGGCGCCCAGGTAGCATCCTAACTAGGTGCCCGAACCACCTCAACTGGCTCCTTTCGACGCGAAGGAGGAGCGGCTCAACTCCGAGTCCCTCCCTGATGACCGAACTTCTCACCTTATCCCTAAGGGAGACACCAGCCACCCTGCGGAGAAAACCCATCTCGGCCGCTTGTATCCGCAATCTCGTTCTTTCGGTCATGACCCATCCTTCATGACCATAGGTGAGGGTAGGAACGAAAATGGCCCGGTAGACAGAGAGCTTTGCCTTCTGGCTCAGCTCCCTTTTCGTAAAGGTAAAGCGACTGCAGTACCGCTCCCGCTGCTCCGATTCTCCGGCCCATCTCACGCTCCATTGTTCACTCACTCGAGAACAAGACCCCGAGATACTTGAACTCCTTCACTTGGGGTAAGGACTCATTCCCTATTTGGAGTGGACAGTCCATCGGTTTCCTGCTGAGAACCATGGCCTCAGATTTGGAGGTGCTGATCCTCATCCCAGCCGCTTCACACTTGGTTGCGAACCGATCCAGTGAGTGCTGAAGGTCGCAGACCGATGAAGCCATTAGAACCACATCATCTGCAAAAAGCAGTGGTGCAATCCTTAGTCCACCGAACTGCAGACCCCCTCCCCCATGAATACGCCTCAAAATCCGATCCATGTATATTACAAACAGGATTGGTGACAAAGCGCAGCCCTGGCGGAGGCCAACCCTCACCGGAAATGGGTCCGACTTACTGCCGAGGACCCGGACACAGCTCTCGCTTTGGGAGTACAGAGATTGGATGGCCCTGAGTAGAGACCCCCTCACCCCATACTCCCGCAGCACCTCCCACAGTAACTCCCTGGGAACTCGGTCATACGCCTTCTCCAAGTCTACAAAACACATGTAGACCGGATAAGCGTACTCCCAGGCCCCCTCCAGGATCCTTGCGAGAGTAAAAAGCTGATCCGTCATTCCACGACCAGGACGGAATCCGCATTGTTCCTCCTCAATCTGAGGTTCGACAATCGGCCTGACTCTCCTTTCGAGTACCTTAGAGTAAACTTTCCCGGGGAGGCTGAGTAGTTACTTTTATGTTTCAGCCCTCGCCAGGTATATCCACATGATCAAATCTGGCTCACTTTGAAAGAACTTTGGACCCCCTTGCCTAAAAGCCCTAAAGCATGGGTCAGCAACAGGCGGCCATTGTTGGCCCGCCAGCAATAATATTTGGCCCGTAATTTTGAGAATCAAAAATAAAATATTATTTTGAGATCTTTTTTTTTTTTAACAACATAGGACCGAGAGTCGCACATCAGGGTTTCCGTTAGCCGGTAATCACCGGTTTTTATCTGGTCAAATTCATTAAAACCCGGTAAATTCAAAATCTGCTGGTCAAAATGTCCGGTAATAATTAGGGATGTTCCGATCGATCGGCCGCCGGTTATTATCGGCCGATATTCACTCTTAATAGTTTGATCGGTGCTCTCTATAAAGGCCGATCAGGAGAGCTGGATCTGATCGATATGGACATAAACGTGAGTGAAGTATAACCGGACACGAGAGAGAGAGATCAGATCAGCTGCTGCATAATCACCTGAAGCCCCGCCCACTGTTTAGCGCGCTGCATGAGAAACTGACGGGCTGTCAGGAGAGAGAGGGAGGGAGAGGGGAAAAGAGAGGATCCGTTTCTCCCGTGTTATTATCCAAAGTTAATGTAAACTTTTGAATAATGTACTTCATCTACTACAAGTAGTTTGTTTGAATGTAATAATTATGTTGTTTGTTGTTTGTGGAATCATTTATTGAAAAATGAATCTGAACTTTTCGATCTGTAACGATGATAAACTGAAGCAATATAAAAATGACTCCCATTAACTGAGTTTTAAACATCAGCATATCCTGTCATAGTCCGGTGATTACCTGCTAAGGGAACTCTGCTACACCATTCTTATTATTATTATTGAAACATGACCGGTAAGTTTCAAATTTGTCCGGTAAAATAGATTCTGTCCCGACATATCCGCTTACATTCATAATGTCAGCGGATGGAGCGGGTCACATTATGGCAAATGTGTGGTTGTGGGGAACCAGGTCAATTAAAGTACTTCTTTAACTATTAAATACATTGAGTTTGAGTAAAATACTTGGTTACTGATTAATTTAGGTTATAATATATTAAATTGCAAAGCAAAACATGCTGTAATTGATTTATTTTGTCCTTTGATATTTTTTAAAGGTTTTCAACCTGAAAGAATCCTAATGTGTCCTTGAAAAGTTGAAATAAAGAAAAGGCAAAAGGATTCCAGTTGTCCCTCAAGCCTCTCAAATGGGCAAACACTCAAATAAATGCCAAAAACCCAGAGAACTTGACAATACTTATCAGAATAAAAATATGTTAAATAACACTGCTACCTAGTTAATAACTCTACTTTACTCAGTGGAGGCTCGTCCATTGAGGAAAGGGAGGACCATCCTCCCTACAATTTCAGAGAAACATTTACTTTGAAGAGAACAATAAATACACCTCAATTTAAAAGATAAGTCTGTTAAAATACAGATAATAGCCCTGGCTTTGGGACTGAAATGGGGCTAGAGAGGACGAGTCTGGGTGGGTCTAGCCAGAGGCTCTGGATTGGGCGCCTATATCATCAGTGAACCAATCAGCGGATCTGACTGCGCATCAGAGTGTTGATGGGGAGGGTTATCAGCGATATCAGAGTTTTTTCTGAACCGGGGAACAGGGGCGCTGCGCCCTCTTACCAAAATCAATCCCTTGAATTAGGCTTTGATTATGTTCTGGCCCGCCATCTTGTGGCTCAGCAAAAAAATTGGCCCAAGGCCAAATGTACTTGCCTACCCCTGCCCTAAAGAGTAACACAGCCAAAGGCTCCAGAGCATTGTGTAAAGTCTTACAGCTTTAAGTGGAACTTGACATTTTGTTTAACAATTTACTTTTTAAATAACAGTTTTCTGCTCACATTTTGTGATGAGGACATTTCAGAAAATCTAGCAAGTCAAAAGATAAAATGCAAATCTCATGCTGGCTATTCCTCAGTATTATTAACTTAGTGCTGACATACAAAAGTCATTTTTTGTATTTTTTTTTAAAAACAACTATTCAAAATACTATTTCTTAAGGTACAAAAGCTTATCTTTCTACCTCTGCAAAAACGTTGTGGGTTTTAAATGTGTTTGTTGGTTAAGAATAGCAGCCTCTTTCTGCATATATAATATGATTAAAGAAAAACCGACATTTAACAGTGTAGTATTTCCATTTTGAGTTATTTTTGTATGTACTGTGGGGATTTTCTTGCTATGTGAAATCTCATTCCTCCAATTTGCCGTTTTTTGTAGTACTTTAGTTAGTGATATCCTACATTTCATACAGAGTCCAGAGAAAAGGGGATCCTCTGTATGAACTGCATATTTACTCCTTTAGTTAAATTAGTTTGAACTGATTGAGAAAACATAAAAATGACTTCATCAAAGTGAGACATATGCCTCCATTTAAAATATCCTTTTAAAAGTTCTCATGACATGCCAAATCACGTTGATATATAAAGGTTTTAAGCCTGCAAGCTGATTTTAATACCATACTGAAACAAATGGCACCCAATGACTTCCTGAGGATAGAAATGGTACTAGAAATGATTTCAAACAAATCAAACATTATAATGATTTGTAAAAGAGTTGACATGAGGGGTCTAGTGCAGAATTCAATTTGGGTACTGGGTTTTAGATCAGAAGGTCAAAGGTGCTTCAAATTTGGACATTTTCTTAGGGCCAAAAACAAATGTCCTCGGGAAACAAAAAGCAACAATGCAAATAAACAGCACCTCTAAAAAGAGAGGGAGGGAAACAAGTATTACTCATACCTGCATACTTACAGTGTAATTGTTGTTGGACACAGTCACCGGCTGCCCATCTTCTGTGTAATAGGTCTCTGTGAAGTCTGGACCTATGAGCTCCCTGGGAAAGAGAAAGAGAAAAAGGGAGATAATTAGATCTGATTTGACTTTAATGACCATTTAGGTTTTAGCAGCCACATGTAGAAATGGGAAGTAACATAGACAAATCGTCTGAGGTCATGAACAAATAGAACACTGCTTTCACACTCCAGTGAATTGTCTTCATCTGCTTTGAGGACCTTGCTTTTGCGCTGCAGTGAGGTCAAAATCAAGTTTTATCACCCATAACCCAATGGAGAGAGTAAAGGCCAAGTTTGAAGTAATTGTTTTTCTGGAAACAGGAAGTGTCTTCTTTGATCAGTCAATACAATTAGGTGATGCTATTAGCTAATGTCATTATGTAGACTAGGTGATTGACAGCAGCTGACTGTTGCCTATGGAATGCAACATAGTGGGTCATGTAGTAATGTATTTCTTCCTTTTAGATTGGTCTCTTTTGAATTACTGACTTTATTGAAGTGCAATATTAAATCACCTTTGAGTACCTACGTAAAGGGGGCCTGTTATGATTATGTTCAGGTGACGTGTATATCAGAATGTAGTGTCTCTACTTTAAAGAGTCCTCTCCTGCTGATGTTCAGGTGTATATCAGTATGTAGTGTCTCTACTTTAAAGAGTCCTCTCCTGCTGATGTTCAGGTGACGTATATATCAGAATGTAGTGTCTCTACTTTAAAGAGTCCTCTCCTGCTGATGTTCAGGTGTATATCAGTAGGTAGTGTCTCTACTTTAAAGAGTTCTCTCCTGCTGATGTTCAGGTGTATATCAGTATGTAGTGTCTCTACTTTAAAGAGTCCTCTCCTGCTGATGTTCAGGTGTATATCAGTATGTAGTGTCTCTACTTTAAAGAGTCCTCTCCTGCTGATGTTCAGGTGTATATCAGCATGTAGTGTCTCTACTTTAAAGAGTCCTCTCCTGCTGATGTTCAGGTGTATATCAGTATGTAGTGTCTCTACTTTAAAGAGTCCTCTCCTGCTGATGTTCAGGTGTATATCAGTATGTAGTGTCTCTACTTTAAAGAGTCCTCTCCTGCTGATGTTCAGGTGTATATCAGTATGTAGTGTCTCTACTTTAAAGAGTACTCTCCTGCTGATGTTCAGGTGTATATCAGTATGTAGTGTCTCTACTTTAAAGAGTACTCTCCTGCTGATGTTCAGGTGTATATCAGTATGTAGTGTCTCTACTTTAAAGAGTCCTCTCCTGCTGATGTTCAGGTGTATATCAGTATGTAGTGTCTCTACTTTAAAGAGTCCTCTCCTGCTGATGTTCAGGTGTATATCAGTATGTAGTGTCTCTACTTTAAAGAGTCCTCTCCTGCTGATGTTCAGGTGTATATCAGTATGTAGTGTCTCTACTTTAAAGAGTCCTCTCCTGCTGATGTTCAGGTGTATATCAGCATGTAGTGTCTCTACTTTAAAGAGTCCTCTCCTGCTGATGTTCAGGTGTATATCAGTATGTAGTGTCTCTACTTTAAAGAGTCCTCTCCTGTTGATGTTCAGGTGTATATCAGCATGTAGTGTCTCTACTTTAAAGAGTCCTCTCCTGCTGATGTTCAGGTGTATATCAGTATGTAGTGTCTCTACTTTAAAGAGTCCTCTCCTGTTGATGTTCAGGTGTATATCAGCATGTAGTGTCTCTACTTTAAAGAGTCCTCTCCTGCTGATGTTCAGGTGTATATCAGTGTGTAGTGTCTCTACTGTGACATGTCTCCATGCTTTAATGTTCAAAAAGCTCTTTATTTTTCTCATACTGCCGCACCTCTTTTCACCCTCTGTCTGAAACCAGAGCCCAGTCTGCTCTGATTGGTTAGCTGGCCGGCTCTGTTGTGATTGGTTAGAAATGTCCCGCCCCCTTAGCCATGTCATTTCATTTCAAACCTTTATTTATCCAGATTGTCCCTTGAGATCATAGATCTCTTTTTCAAGGGAAACCTGCAATGTACAATGTGTTGGAGTGCTAGTCAATAGGAGCGCAATGTCACAGTGATATCACTATGGTCCGGAAGTAAACAACAAAGGAGTCCAATGGAGGTGAGAAACACCACAAACGCATTAATATCTAATAACCTGATAATTTTAAAGAGTAGTTTGTCAATTTTAGACAGCAAGTGTAATATTATCCTTAGTTTCATTTTATAGACTCCAGCAGGCAGTCTTGTCAGCATGGCTATGTTTTACACAGAAAGGGTCTAACATGAAGCCAAATCACAATTTGGTATTTTTCTGTACCAAAAATTCTCTTTTCTAGTTTGTTTGTTCTTAGTGCCCAGACCTGAGTTAACAGGCGGGAGCTTCGTTTAAATAAAGCAGCACAAAGAGAGTGGTTGTTATTTAGTTGGAAACAGGGTCCAAGATCTAGCCCTGAGAATCGACATCGCACTACATTAGCCGCTTTCACACCAAGTACTTATCCCTGGTACTTGTTCCCCCGAATTCTTTAGTCCCTCAAACTCCACACGGAGACGATTTCAGTTGTATCCGCTAAGGTTCTTTATCGTATAGACCAGTGATCACCAACCTTTTTAAGCCCAAGATCCCCGACCTCGGCCTTGGTGAAAGGCGAGATCTACCTATTGCAGAATTGAGTGAAAAAGACGGCCCAGACAGTACTTCCAATTTGAGGCCTTTTATGTCGGCTAATTGCATCTGAATTACATCAAATCATTTGGTGCAACTTCTAATTTGATTAAACCAAGAACACAACATAACTAACATGTCAAAAAGGATAAATATATATATTTACATCATACCTATCATTTTAAGTTTCATTCATTCCTTCATTAGAATCCTAAATATAAATGTATGTAGTTATTTTCCATTTGTTTGAGTGCATGAGTACATTATTTTGTTGACAGCAACAATAACAAAGAAAAAAAATAACATCTTGCCAAATAACAAGTGCCATTTTTCACTGTGAGGCTTATCCACTGAAGCTTCATGCAAGTGCAACATTTAACATTAACATTACAACTAGTTATTTTTAACACAATTCTTACAAATTCAAAATTCTAACAACATTCTTTATCCGTGCGTTCACACCGGACGCGATGCGATTTTTGGGGGCGGCGCGATTACATGTAAAGTCAATGCAAAGGCGCGGACAGACGCGGTTGATGCGAACGACGCGTTCTCGCGGTAGCCAATCAGCGGTGAGGATCTCAGCCTGCCGTCACCTGTTAGCACACAGAGTTCACAGCTCCTCATATCTGTTCAGCAACTGGACAAAAAGTTAAACATGAACAACCCAGCTAGCGGGGAACGTTCTCACAACTTTGGCTAACGTTACCTACAGGTTAAAGAGGGTTTCATCCCTCCCAATTCTAATGTTTTAAAGAAATGTTTTAATCTGATGTTCAAAGAACCTTTTTAGGATGTTTATTATTTCAAATAATGTTCCTATAAGGTTTAAGGTTAACTAAGACATAACGTTTTAACTTCAACATTCAGAGGATGTTTTCAGGATGTTATTGAGGCCTGAGATGACAAAGTGCTTTATAAAATGTTCCTTCAATGTGATATGTTAACAAAGGTGGAACGTTTTGCCTGCAACATTCTGAGGATGTGTTTTGGACGTTGTTGGGGTAACACATTAAAGATGTTCTTTATAAAACGTTCCCTCAATGTTACATGAAAACAAATGAAGAACATTTTCAAAGCAACATTCAGAAAATGTTTTCAGGAGGTTATTCTTTTTTTATAAAACGTTCCTGTGATGGCAAATATTACATCTGTAATATTCGATAATATTTTGCGCATCCTTTATTCATATCGGATGCAAAACAGCTGAAAAATGACCGGTGAAAGTTGTTGGGTATCAAGTATTCCCATGTTGCTACAACGCCCCTGAATGCACCACAGTTCCCATTCCCTACAAGTCTTTCACTCTCTCTTTGCTTTACGCCACTGTTATTTTCAGCTGAAGAATTACAAGAATGGGGAATTGCTTCAACCACTTGGGCTTAGGAACCTAAAAAAGTCTGACAAAGAACCTTTCCACCACCATGTTGCAGCTCAGAGTACTGACAGTAACTGCCTGACGTGTGAGACCTCATTTTATTTCAAACTACACTTGCCAACTAAATCTCTGCTTTGAAGAAAGAGCAAAGTCAGACACAGCCTCAATGATATTCATAGCTTCTCTCTTTGCTTGCTGACATCCCTGTATGATTTTCTGATATTGCCATGCTTGATTGCTAAAAGCATAATCTCTTCCAAATGAAATGTTGGATCAGCAGGACCGGAGCCTTTCATGTTGATGGAAGTTGGGCATTGATAACAAAAAGAGTCGGAGAAGGAAAATATCCCAATGCCTTCGCTACGTTTGTATCATTTGTTAGTTACTTATCTCATGCAAATCCTTATCTGTCCAAAGCAAACTTTTCTTTATCTGTTAGTGCTCTGCTGAAAGACAGCTTGAGTGCAGAGTGCTACAATAGGAAAATAAAATGCATTATATTATGGTTTCTAAAAGGTCACCAAACGACAAAAATGCATTGGCTCCATTTTAGCCTGCAAGAAGAAAAGGTGACATTTGTCATGTCTGGGGAGAAGGAGTGGGCTGTAAAATGCCAAGACGTCCCTGGACGGACGCATCCGTGCTACAGACGTATGGATCAGTGAGACCACAAGGACATCTGGCCTCACTCTGCCTCTGTGTGGCTGAATCACTGACCAGGCAGGAGACACACTCAGAACATCCCTGAGCACAAATGGGCAAATGGAAGACGGACATGAATAGATGAGCCCAATCTCCATTTGGTCCCAGGAGCCCTATTGTATTATTCATTGAGGGAGATCGTAATGGAACATAATCCAGCTTTCTTATCCCTTTTTATTGCAGACAATTTGCTCTGTATTATAAAAAGACTGTTTACGTGGCAATCTAATAATGTTGATTTGATTGAAGCTTGTGCACAGACAGAAGTGTGTGAAATTCAACTCTTATTCAGCACAGTATTTACACAGCATTTTCATTAAAGTGAGAAAGAATGAAATTGCTTTTC